CAGCAGTTTTGGTAGGTTGCGTGAATTATTAAAACTCCCATACTTTTGCCTTGCTTCAGGGCCTTGGTCTCGTCCGCATACAGTGAGCTGCCTTTGCATCACGAAAAACGAAGGCTAACACTGCTGCATGCACCACAAAAAAAAAGAAAAAAACATGTTTAGGAGCTAGCAAGTTTGATAAAAAATTTTGACGAGATTAGAGCCCAGTTTAATCGTTGTAAATGGGTTTCCGCCGTGCGATAACGTTCGTATACTTCTTTTAACTGTCCCCAGTGTTCGTTTGTTTCACTGCAATAGGTGTTTGTGGGACACTTCGCGTGTTTGGCGCCATCGACCACGCTGCATATCGACGCTTGCCATTTTTGGTACTCCGCCGAACGATTCTACATCTATGCCACGCCGCTCAACATGACTCGGACGTGACACCGCGCATCACGTCACCTGTTACCTGGCATCAGTTGACACCATGGCGTGACGTTGTCCTGTCAAGACACGTTGCACAGTGGCGCCTCGCGACTTAATAGCGTCAGGTGTCACCGTGAGTCACAGTGTCACCTGAGTGTCGCATGGCATCACGCGACACTCACGTCACGTGGCAATGCGTCGTCACGTGACACTATGACGGACCGTAACAACATAAACATAAAACGAAAAAAGCTAGGTCCGCGGCGAAACCAGGAGCGTTAAATTAGGTGAAGCTGCACGCTTCAAACTTTGAGTGGGCGAGTTTGAAAGTATTTTTTGTGACCACAATGCGGCGCTATATTGTGTCGAATAGCATTGCATAAGACGTTGATGCAGCCACACGAACAACAGTGAACCGTTCATGCATGCACCTGCAGTTTCGTCGTTCGCTGGATTTCAAACTTTGGCGCCCGATTTTCGAAGTATTCTTCAATTATCACGAGGCAGTCTTAGTTTTGTCCAATAAAATTGTTTAACAGGTTCACGAAATGCTCTCTACTTAATGCACCCTCATTGGTTCCAAAACGCCACAGAAGTTTTGTCCGTTGTGTTTTTCGGTTTAATATACAAAACGTCCATGCGGACTCGTGGCGCGTGCACGCACCTTTACCATTCGTTCAATCCATCTGCTCCGAGATCGCACCTTAGCGGCTCCGACGTCACACCTCAGCTGTTGCAGTGTTTCACCTTACGAGTTGCATAAACATTTATATTTTTTTTGTCAAAGAAATTCGTCTAAAGGAGCAAAATAAATGAAAAAAATGCTAACCCTGTTCACTCTTGAGTTCACGTCAAGCACGAATCGAAGGATTATCGCTGCTTCCGCAGCAGATGCAGCAACGCGTTGACACTGAATCTCTCCCGCACGAAGCGCAGTCGCTTGTTTACGGAAGTCCTCTACCAGTTGGGTCACTGGTTTCGTTTGCACGCCGCTACCAAGATGAGATACGTAGTCCTAGGCACACTACTAGATGGCGTTCTACATTTCGCATGTCATCGATTGCTCCTTTACAAAGTTTAACCCGAATTGGCCAGTCTCGTTGTAAAATCATGCACAACGTCAAAGTTACTTTTTTTTTTCCGGGAACCTGTGAACAACGTTTTATCCCATCCCTGACCGTATAACGTTAAATAACATAGGGCAATGCAAGCCAGGAGGATTGAATCGTTTCTTACCTGCTCTAATCAACAGGACTCGCCGTCCATGAACATCTGGGTTTGGCAGCACCATAAATATACGTCTGGAAGCGGGCTTGGCGTTTCACGGTAGGAAATTATCGTAGATGGAAGGGTATGCCGCACGGTTTTTGTAATAATACTTGAGACTCGCCAGTACTGCTTCGATATTATATTTCCTTATGCGGATGTACCGTAGAAGGAACACACTGTCTCGCCTTGCATTGAGTTCAGGGTCTTCTGCAGAGGGCAGAGTAGGAAAAAAACTATTACGATGCGACGACGACACAATAATTCGCACATTGTTTTCTACGAAATCCTAACAATCTTTTACACACTCAAGCACCTTCTCGCCGTTACTGCCGAGCCGCATCTGTAAGCATCAACCAACCTCTGCTTATCAAATCAAACGATAGAAAAACGTAGACGTCTGGGGTGTTCAATTAACTTTTTTTTCTTATCGGGGAACAGCGAAAATCAGCTTGAGTAGGCGTTCACATTTCCCGAAGACCGTGGGATGAAAATCTCTATTGCGGAGGAATATATTTATGTCGTTAACAAACTTCTACCAAACATGCTGCTGTAGAGGAAAAAACATGCGAGGTGCGTAGCACCCAAATTAAAATCTACGAAACGTACATAAAGTGGATGGTAGCAGCTCTATCCGCCACACAATTTCTTTGGGCTTCCGGCTCCCTTTTAAAACCCCATTCTTGGTTAGCGTGACTCTGAAGAAACAGACGGCGACCAAACCTATACATCAACGTAATAAAGTATGTGTTGTCGCACTTTCGTAAGGCGGGGTATTTTTGTTCTTTATGAAATTGACATATCTGGTCGTTCACCCGTTTCTCTACGCGCGAGTTCCCTACACTATTCGCTCGCATCTCTGCAAACGGACTAAGAACAAGATGCTTAAATAGTCCTGAGCTAATAGAGTGACACATGCGCGACAAAGGGACTGACGCGACACAAAATTTAAGATGGCCGGGAATCTCGGAGACGAAATTCACATATTTCAACGTGGTCAGACTAGTATGGCGCGTCGGCCTTTTTTATTTATATATTTTTTTTCTATCTTCATGCGGGCCATAGCAAGTATGGGAACATAAAAAAAAAGTTTGTTATAGCATGACATCTTGTTATCGTGAACACTATGTTGCGACAGAAATAATCGCGTCTACAGAGCCGTCAAGCGACGGATGGTCATAATTTCATTTGACAGGGAGGTCCATTAGTAAATTTCTCGAGGAAAAAGAAAAGAAACCACGATTAAAATAGTGCGAACTGGACAGGGACGATAAAAGGCACACGTACGACAGGTTTAGCGCAGACTTCCAACTAAATTGGTTGCGTAATCCAACCAAGCAATATATACCGTCGCATGCGTACATTAAAAACACAGAAATAGTTATACAATAAGATTACATGTCTACCACGCGCCTGTCTTCAGATAAAACCCTCATGAATATATAATTCTTTACCAATGAGACACACCCGACGGCATGCTGACGCGCTTGTGTCCCGCTTTGTCAATGAAAAAAACGCCCCTATAATTTCCTTTTTTGTATTGTCCTTTGCTCTCTTCGGGAACGTGGTCCATTTCAAAAGCGGTTCACACCCACTTCGTTTAACGTGCTCAGCAATGTGGCCATTCAAATTGCTTCGTACCGACAAATTATGCTCGCGCGCTCTCCAATTGAACCACCGATCACTTTTATGCCCAGTAAGCATTACACATATCTTACCAAGCTTGAAAGGAGCCGAAAAAAGGAAAGTAATACCATACCTACCGACTTTTTTTTTTTTTTTTTTTGGAATTATGCGATATTTTGTGCATATAAGGCGCAACTTGCACTCTTTTGTTGATCTATTCTAAAGTACGTTTTTTTTATTCTGTAATCCTTTAAGTTTCCGTAATAGGCTCTCGCAAACACTTCACACTTCCATATTAGGGTACTACCCCCGATTTTAACTTCCTGAAGTGAACATCAAAGCCGGCTGACATTTAGTGCCCGCAACGTTTTGTTGCGAGCTTAAACAGGTCGGTGTTTTAATGAAAGAGGCCGAGCATAATCTTGCGGCACGAAGCGATTTGGGTGGTCATCTTGCTGAGCACGTTACACGATGTGGGAGAGAACCACTTTTGAAATTGATTAAGTTTCTGAAGAGAGCAAAAGACAAGATAGAAAAAAATTATAGAGGTGTTTTTTATATTTAAAAAAATTAAAGCCGGAGACATTCGTCAGCGTGCAGTCGGTGCGTCTCATTGACAAAGAATTATCTTTTCTGGGTGGCTTTATCTAAAAGATAAACGCCTGGTAGACATAATCTTATTGTATAACTATCTTTTCTGTTTTTATGTGCACAGGCGATTATATATATTGCTTGGTTGGATGATGCAATAAACTTAGTTGGAAGTCAGTGCCAGTCCTGTCGTACGTGTGCCTTTTTTGTCCCTGTCAAGTTCGCGCTGTTTTAGTCGTGTCTAATACAAATCAACCAGCCCAATCAAAAGTGGTGTTATAAAAGAAATGATTATGTCCGCAAGTATATCAAAAATACTTGCCAAGTTATACTTTAATCTGGACGAACCGGTTGTTGAAAATTTTATATATATTTCACTGTTAACACTATTTTTTATTATACTTCACTGCTAACTTATTTTACTGACAGTAGTCTTTATTGACTGCTGACTTATGTCAGTGACTGTTCACTTATTTTCACTTTTAATATTAAAATGTGACATATATTTCACTCTTAACAAGCAATTTGCACGACATTGACATGTCGCGCTTTGTTTGATAATTTATAGGTTTCTGGAAAAGCGTGACGCCGTGATCGACGTTAGCTTCAAAAATTCTAGATTCATGAATTAAATACCTAAAGAATTTAGAGCATAAACTGTTTTCTTTTCAACAAGGGCATCATTTTATGTCACCGAAAGAATTATTTTTACCAAAACTTTGAAATTGAAAAACACAAAAACTTATCCTTGGCTGCCGATATTACGTCTGGTAAGCCCAAAGTAGGACTGGTACAGGAGTCTGAATTACGCTTAATACATAACAGAAATTATGCTGAGGTTCGAAAATCCCCCCCAGCATCCATCAAAATTAATTTGAGTACCGACTGCTTATAGATTACACAAAAAAGAGCATGCATATACATTTCGACGCGAGTCAGCGAGAAATCTGTGCTTCGACTGCGGCATAGCAACGCGTTCAAGGAGAAAACAGCGCGCTGCATTCGAACCCCGGTTACTGTGGTGGCTGGTGTTTGCAGACTGTCGTTTGTATGGTGTATAAGCAGTGTGACCCCCACTCAACACAGACACGAGTCTGTCTATTTTCACCTACCGTCGAGCAACTCATTGAGCCTTGCCAACGCGTCCGCCCGGCCGTGGTCCGTCTCGCCGAGCTCTTCATCGGCGATCCGCTGGAGCTCGGCAGGTAGGTCCTCGTCACTTGTGTGCATTGTCCCACCACCGACTTCCAGCTTGTTGGCTGTCATTGACACGAAAAACAAGAAAAAGTTCGAGAACCAGTCCAGTACCACGCACAGGGAACAGTTTGAACGCAGCACCAGTGCAGCAGGGTAACGACTTCGCGTGTCAAAACACGATACAAAATTTATCTGTTTAGTTGGTGGTTCAGACAACGCATCTGGCGGAGCTGGCGCCGCAACATTGCGGGCTGTTCGAGTACCGAGGCCGGCGCTACGGTGGCTGCACTTGCAAGCGACATAAACAAGGAAGGGAAGAGATATTGCACAGAGAGAGAGAGGGCTTTAAACGTGCACTCTTGCAGGTCTTTTTTTTTTTTCTTCCTTTCCTTTTTTATATAATCGTGGGGGGGTTTGTCTGATAACCGTCGCGTTGTCTGGCGATGAGCGAAGTCACTTGGTTACTACACCGAACGCGCAGAGGAGCTGCATGTCGGCATGTGTTTTCCTAATCGGCCGCCCCCAGCGTATAAAAGTTATGAACGCAGTACACATTTTACCGCAAGTTCCACCAAAAGCAGCGCGCGGCGTGCATGCCACCATGTCCCTTGGAGGTTGGGAAGCGGTGAAGGGGCGACCTTCAAGCTACCAAAGCTGCTCAATGAAGAGATCGTGTCGCCATCTCCCGCAGCGGCACGTCACCTCCACGTTTGTAACTCTTGACGCCAGCTCTCGGCGCCTAAAAAGCTAGTTTGGCACGCATTACAGCGGGAGGAGGCCACAATATTACACTGTACGATCATATTGTGTTGTCGAATCGTGGGAAATTTTTCATATTCTGGAGAAAACTTGGCTCAAGGGACGAAGGTGAAACTTAATTTGAACTCACGCTAGAACATAGAAAAACGTCCAGGGCATTACAGATATCCGAAAAACTAAGAACAAGAAGAGAACACTCAGTAAGCGTTGTCTCCTTGATCTTCAAGCGGAGGCAGATGCTGCTACTGCGCATGTGCACCTTTAGCTTTGTCTGCAAAATTCCAGTGATCATTTCTGGACGCCGTAAGCTAGAGGAATGTCGGGTGTGGTTGTAGTTTTTGCTACCTTTCAGCCTACGGGTGAACAGAGTGCACCTACATTCTTTCTCTTCAACACACCATTTAATTCTACAAGGACTACCACTAGTCCTGCGCATGAGAAATGGAATGTACTGTTGCAGTACATCTTTGAAAACTTCAAATTTGTTTCTATTGCTTTCTTGATAACTGTTCGTGAAAAGTAAGGTTGAAGTAATTTGTAACGTAACGAGTAAAGTGATTAATAAGTAATTAAAGTAAAGTATTTTCTGAAACACACAAGCAGTCCACGAGAAATTATATTGAAAAAACTTCATATTGCCGCCCGCAGAGCCGAGAAAGCACCGCTTGGTCACGGTCTTCTAGAAGATTCCCGTTCATTCTCGCACCAGACGTAGCTTTCCCTCTGCTTTGTTATTCTCGAAAATGCCAGTTCATCCTCGCCCCGAGCGCGCGACGCTCGAGCCTTCTTTGCCGAACTTTCGAGATAGTGACGCACGGTAGATAAGCAGCTACCCGCGACCTTGTCTAGTGAGTCGTTTCGACGGCTCGCTTCGAGCGGTTTACGAAGTTCGGGCGGTCTTTTTCCGTTTTGCAGAAGAGTTTTTGTGTACACTGTTGCGTCGTCAAGCGTCGTCAAGCGCATCACCGGGGCGGATTTTCGTACCGGAGCTAGCAGATTGTCTGACGACGGACAATCCCTGCACCACTAAGCGGCGGGACCGGCTGACAAGCATGACGGCCACTTCGGGGGGCGCCCATTCAAGCCCCAGCCCCATGGATGAGGACCGAGGCCCACCGGCTACACCAGGTCGGCAATATCGGAAAAAAGGACGGCGACTTGAGCCCCACTCCGGCATCGAATGCGTCAGTAGCATCCTTTTCCTCCGAGGCTGAGTCGGCACTGGAAGACGGGACGAACGCACATGCCAGCAACAAGGGCGAAGGGGACGACGGCTTCACCCTCGTAGGCCCGAAGAAAAGTCGACGGGGCTCGACCAACAGCGGTGGCACAGTAGTCTCAAAGGAATCGCGACTGGCTGCCAGGAACACTGAAGCCCGGCTCACAGTACTGTTCTGGCCTACAGAGAAAGCAAACATCCGGAAGCTCAACAGGGTAGAACGAAACGCTCACTTCGACGTCATCGCTCCTCGCCAAGTGAAGGAGATACGGGTCAACGGCCGAAAGAACGTGGTAGCGGTCGACGTTCACATGAAAGAGGCTGTGCCTAAACTTCTACTCGTCAGGAAGCTCGGCGGCATACCGGTTGAGGCCCGCGTACCATGGACGACACATCATATCGCAGGAGTTGTTCGAGACGTAGATCAAGGCTTGTCTGAGGAAGACATCTACAACAACATGCGGGCCCCAGTTAACATCCTCGGCGTGCGGCGCCTGGGGAAGTCGACGACTGTCAGGGTCACCTTCGAAGGCAAGGACCTTCCGCAATATGTCCACATGGGATACGTGCGTCACCCGGTTGCACTCTTTGTGGCTCGTCCTCTGCAGTGTTTCCGGTGCAATAGAATGGGCCACATCGCCGCGGTCTGGGAGAGAGAACGAACGTGCGCGAAATGTACAGATAATCACGAAACATCGACGTGCGAAAGCGAGACCGTTCGATGCGTCAACTGTCGACGGGACCACGCCGCAACTTCGTCGGAGTGTCCAGTCCTGAGGAAAGAGCGGAAAGTGTGCAAGCAGCGCGCCAGGTCGGCCTCCACCCACGCGGAAGCGAGAGCAGCGGTACGAAAGCAAAACACGTTCAAGGTAGCCAGCCGGCGTGGCGCACCTCCTACAGCAGCCTCAGGAGCTGCGAGCGCAAAGGGACGGGCAAGACTGCCAGAAGACGATTTCCCGCCGCTAGTAGCGCGACAAACTGTGGCGAAGCAGATGGCGGGGCACAAAGACGCAACCCGCTCTGAACAAACGGAAAGTAACCGAGCACGCGAACCAGAAGGCACTGCGCAGGTGGAGAGGCGCCGGTCTGTTGCCCATGTGGCACGAGATGGACGCCACAAGACCCCATCGACGGGAGAGGCTACAGACGCCGCCCTACTACGAATGGTTTCACGGCTCTTCAGGGCGGTGCGACAACTGGCACAAGCATGACGCCACACACCAGAAGCGAAATTCGCACTGGAGGTACTAGATGCTGTCGGGGAGAGTCTCGAAAGAATCATCACACAGAATGCCTAAGCCGGGTATTGTGAGTCCACAGAAGCAAGATAACTCGACAAGTACCCCAACTTTGAAGGAAGGGCGACAGCCGAGCAATAGGACGGGGGGACGGGACGTCCCAACCGTGCTGCAGTGGAATTGCCGTGGACTTACGGCCAGACACAGCGAACTAACCCTGCATCTGCAACGCTACCCAAGCCCAGTGCTGGCACTCGTAGAAGCCGGCCTTCCGGGAAAGCGGACACTACCTGGGTACGTGAAGCTTACTACGCAATCCATCCCCAGTTTTCCCCATGGAAGTGCGGCGCTTTTTATACGGCAAGGAGTGCCCTACTTTCAAGTGGACACCAGTCAGTTGTGTACCCTGTCGGCGGAGTTTGTGGCCGCAAGAGTCAGCATCGGCAAAAGAACTTTCCATGTGCTCGTGGGTTACGTCCGGCCGGATGGCACGGAGTGGCCGACAGATAATCTTCTGACATGGTGCAAGAACATCGACGGGGACCTGCTTCTGTGTGGTGACCTCAATGCGCACAGTGAAGTGAAGCATGGAGCAGTCGGAAAACGGACAAACGGGGGGACGCAGTCACGAAAATGCTGGAGGAGCTGCACTTGGTCGTGGCAAACGACGGAGGGCTCACCGTTTTCAGGCCTCCCAGCATGTATAGCGCCATCGATGTCACGGCGCATACACCAACACTCGAGCTGGCATGGGCAACTGCCCCGAACACCAGAGGGAGCGATCATTTCCCTATCCACATCACAGTCAAGGGGTGCCAGACGGTCAGGGAGGTTGTGCGGTCGTGCACAAACTGGGACGTTTTCCGTGCAGCTTTGAACACAAGCCGTGCAGACATTGCGACAACCATCGTTCAGGCTCTGCAGGAGGCAACACACACGACGAGCATCACTGAATGGCTGCCAAATCCCGACCTCACCTTCCTAAACCTGCAGGCGGCGCGAACAAGGGCCCAACGAAAGTATCGACGCACGAAGAACCCGGAGGACAAGACCCAATTTAACAGAGTGTCGGCAAAGATACGAAGACACGCCAAGGCGCTGGTGAGAGCTCGATGGGAGCTGATGTGCAGGAACATCAACGCTCGCTCATCGCTGCCCCAACTCTGGAGAGTCCTAGGTGCAGTGACTGGGAGCTGCCGAACAAGGCATGCGCTGCAGGTGTTAGCACTCTCAGCCAACATAACAGAGCAGCTGGCAGCAGAAAGATTATGTGCCCTATACGCCCCTGCCGAAGCGCCAGGAAACCCGGGAACTCCGAATCTATCCCCGGGGCCCCTGGGCGCACCTTTTACCGTCCAGGAACTTGAGAGTGCTCTCCGGAGATGCCGAAAAAAGAGTGCAGCGGGACCCGATGGAATCCCATACCAGGCACTCACGAACCTTCCGGATGACGCACAAGAAGCCCTGGTCGCCTGGTTCAGCACCATATGGGACTCTGGCGACGTACTCGACGGGTGGAAACTGGCAACCGTAGTGCCCCTACTCAAGGCAGGAAAGCCCCCCGGCAAGGCGGAGTCCTACCGCCCGGTGTCGCTAACGTCATGCGTAAGCAAAGCGTTTGAGAGAATGGTGCAAGCACGCCTTCGCTGGTACCTGGATGCACACTGTCTCCTCCCTGAGTGTATGACTGGTTTCAGGAGAGGTCTGTCAGCCCAGGACAGTATATTGGACCTTACGAGTGACCTGGAAGATAACAAGAATAAACGAAGAAACACGGTGGCAGTCTTCCTCGACGTGGAGCGGGCTTACGACGGCGTCCCGCTTGCCACCATCCTCTGCAGACTGACCGAGGCGGGGATCACAGGCAAAATCCAAGCCTTCCTGGCGAACTTCCTGACGGGGCGAAAAATACAAGTTTGCTCTGGACGGACAGTATCGTCACCAAGGGTGCTCCACAGAGGGTTGCCTCAGGGAAGTGTGCTGAGTCCGGTGATCTTTAACATCGTAATGGCCCAGCTACCGTGCTCTATCCCACCAACGCCCCTGCCGGTGCATGTATCGCTGTACGCAGACGACGTATGTCT